TTCAAATTTAATAAATTTACTAGTGTCTACGTACGGAACAAACTTTACTGATTTAAAAAATTTTATTAAATAAATATTCCACGTTACTATTGATATTCATATATATGCATAATGTGTTAGTATATATGTGTGTACAAGATTTTAATAGATATTTAAGCACGTGCATACCTAACATACAAAGTTTTAGCTAACATTCAAAGTTCTCAAACTAATCCCCATTTAATAACAATATCATGATCAAGAATATAATGCATGTATAAGAGAAATGAGTCTGTGAATGCATTTATGTTGTTTTATATTTCATTATTACAAATTATTAATAAATAACAATAATTTCATTAGAATTTAATAATCGATAAAAACTCTGTTAAAAAATATCATTTTAACCTAACGTATTTAATTTTATTTATTTATTTGAAATCGTATTTTTTAAGTAATAGCTATTTCTTTATTAGAATATTAATAAATATTCTTTAAAAAAAAAAAAATTTTTCATGAATTGATTAAAAATGTAAGATTATACTATTGAAATTTAAATTACAGCCATTTTAGATGATTATAAATACTAAGGGGATTAGTTGGTAAACGCTATGATCGATGAGATTTCAAAAATTTCAGCACAACTAGAAAAGAAAGAAGAGATAAGTACGTCACATTATACTGTACTCCCTCCTTAATCTCAAATTATGCTTTCTCTATTTTTAATAGTTCGCAGTAATTGTTTTGTTGCAAATTTATATGTTTTAATGTTTTAAGATTATATATATATATATTTATATATATATATATATATATATATATATATATATATATATAATAAATTCATATATTTTAATGTATGATATTATAAATTACATATATATTCAATTCTAAAGTTATATATAATAATATGTATATTTTTTATATTTTTATATAACTTTTTATAAATGCCTATCATTATATAGAATATATATATATATATATATATATATTATGAATAGTTAAGAGTTATTTAAAACTGCAATAAAAGAAAATCAATACTTAATGATTTAAAAATACTTGAAACTATTGAAAGATTTGTATTAGACATATATATTCGGCCTAATCGTTAATGTAAACATATCAGGGACATTAGAATCCTTTTAAGCAACTGTTTAATATGATTTTTTTAAGTTTCCTAGGAATCGGATCATTAAAAGTGCTCCTTGGATGTACAGAGTCGTCGTCATGATATGCGAAAGCAATGTATACATAAATAGGAGATGAAAGATGACGTTAAGAGATTGTAGTTGTATCGCTCTAACGGAGATAGAAGAATATGACACGCGTGAAACGAGAATTCTGAGCTTCGTGCTGCTTTCAGGTTTTTTTTCAATTTATCTCAAGCTATATTGGATGAAAGAATTTTCTCGCAAGCATTTACGATATTGTTCTTTTGCTTTAAGCGCATCTACGGTATTATGTGACTAATGGAAACGAGTTTTTTTTTTCAGAAAGCATTCAACCAACAAAATTAAAAGAAAAGAATTTTTGTTTCAACAATAAATCATTTCTAATTAAATCATATGCTAATATCTGAGCGATTCATACTGTTCAATTTAAATGTAAACATGGTTTTGTTAATGAAATATCACACTATGAATATTAATGAATACATTAATAAAGTTATGATTCATTGTAAATTCTTGTTACGAGTATAATATTTTCGGAAATTTTCAACGATTAAATAATGAAAGCTAATGTAATTAATTTATCCACAAAATGTTAATATCTACATTTGTATTCTATCAAATTTGTAATAGGAAACAACCAATTTTATGTACATAATATATAAAGACTCAATGGAACATTTTTTAACGAGAAAATAAAGTTCTTTTATGTTATAGTGAACATTTAATCTTTTAATCACACTAAAATATTTGAGATTGTTTGATAACAATAGTACAAATAGGCGAATATTACAGCTAAAGTTTAAATTTGTGCAATCTTTTTTTTTTTTTTTTAAATATTGTATCAACATTTATATGCTATTTGCAATGCTGGAAAGTTCTTTTTGGATTTTTAAAATGATGTTTAATTTTTCATTACTAGCCGAAATTAGGAGCAAATTCATTGATGATTAATCTGCTGTGAAAATACTCTAACTTGTATATGTATTGTTTATTACAAACGTAACAACATCAACCAAATTTAATTGCCTATAATTTCTCACTATTTCTCATTATTTATTCCGAAGTAATTTGGCTCTTAATTATATAATTGCTCGTTTAATATTTTGGCGCAGCTTCAAATTGATATTATAATGATGCACAAACTAATTAAATACTTCAAACACTTTTGCCAATTATTATTCAATGAAACAAAATATTTAATCCTTGTATAGATAATTTCACTTCCCACCTACCTACTACATGAGTCATAATTTTAATCGAGACTATCGAATATATAACCATCTGTAATAAAAGTAAAAAGGACTGTATCTATTCATTTGTATCAATTATCGTTAGAAAAGCATGGAAATGAAAATTTCATAAATTTTTAAATTAATTATAGACGACAAGAATTAAAAATTTAAGTGATTAATAATTTTAAGTATATAATTGCGACAATTGAGATACTTTGCTTAAATAATACACTTTATAAAGAATATTATTAAATGTGAATTTACGTAAAGAGCTTATTATAAAAATTATTAATTGAATCATCTTATCGTTACTGTTATTTAATAAAGATTGCTGCCTCGATATAATTTACTTTATTCTGTATGCGTATATTAGATAAATAGATTGGGGGACGGAGAGAGAGAGAGAGAGAGAGAGAGAGAGAGAGAGAGAGAGATTAGATCAACAAGACCGCAATTGGTATCACACTGATGACTCGTAAATACAAACACGCTTAGCATCTATAGTTCAGTATCAACATTGTCCTTCTAATATCTCTATCATTGTTTAGATTCATACGGAGCCGATTATTGTCGCGCAATACTAGATGATGGCTTATTGTCCTGCCCATAAGCTCTGATAAAATCACACCATATAGTCAGCTCTATTTTGGATTATAGAAAGACAAGAATTAGTGCTTTACATCATTGAACGAGAGAGAGAGAGAAAAGAGAAAGAGACAGAGAGAGAGAGAGACGAGCAGACAGACAGACATTTTACACGAAC